CCCCCCACCCCGCAACACCATTTCTCAACCCCCCACCGGCTCACACATATCTCCGGCGCCACCAAGGTTGCCGCTGGCCCACGAGAAAGAAGCCCCCCACCCCCAACAGAAGGTGTAAAGAGGGTGGCAGGCAGCTAGGGTGGAGCCCGCAAGAGCCAGGCCCCTCACTGCATGTTAATGAATCCATTAATTAATTGTACTGCCCACATCAGTCCTGCCCCGGCAGCAGCTATCGCAGAAAGCTGAGCGCTGCCCGGCTTCGAAAGCCGCCGGGGAGGGAGGTGTCCTGCCCACGGCTCAGTGTGAGTTGGGGGCCGGGGTCGCTCGCCTCCCCTTCCCCAGTGTCCCGGGGCCCAGCCCGGCCGCTCACCACGTGCTCTCTGTTGTTGCTGCGCTTGCCATTCCAGGAAGCGGGCCGCCTCCAGTAGTGTCTCTATGCTCATCGCGCTGAGAGCTGCCGGGGGTGCGCCGGAGCCGAGGCTGCGGCCCGCGAGCCGGGCACAGGTCAGGCTGGCGGGCAGGCAGGAGGCAGTGATCACCTCCTGGGAGCGACAGGGCTGGGTGGCGCAGCGCACTCCGCAGAGAGGAATGGGAGAGCACGGGGAGAAAAGTCAGTGTCTCCCCAAATATTTGCAAAATATAAATTTGCAATTTAAAAAATTTGATGCAAAAAAGGGGAGGCGGCCCTGCTCCCTTCTTTCCCCTCCCTCTCTTCCTCCCTTCCGATGCCTCCCGCCCCGCGGCCCCCGGGAGTCCCGCCGACAAGAAAGGGCTTTGCAACAAGATGGCGAGGAGGCACCGACACACACAACAAGGGAAGGAGCCGCGCTGCCCCCGGCCGCCGCCCCCGCTACTACACCGGGGCCGCAGCCAAAGCCCGGACCGGAGCCCCCGCCCGCCGGGCCCCGGCGTCTCGCGAAAGGAGGGGCGGGGTCCTGCGTGGGCTGGTCCCGCCTACTATAGACGGAGTGCGCACACGTGGCCTGGGCGGGGGCGAAGGATGATCCAGCCGGGTTCGCGCGCAGTATTTCCGCTTTCCCGCCTTGCTCCACCTGCGATCTACAAGTTGAGCAAGGACTAAAGGTGAGGTCACTCCTAAATCTTGTCTTGCTGGAGGTAACGACGGGTGAAATTTTCAAGTTTAAATGAGCTCAAATAAGGATGTTCTGAGTCACGATAGCCATAGGACGGTAACGACTGGTATGATTCACTAACTCTCCTCTCCCGACCCACACGTGACCCAATTCTCGCAACCTCCCCGCTGTCGCAATTCCCCCGGGATCCGCCCCTGGGCGGAGCTAACGGCCGGAGGCAGCAGGAGACCGGGCAGAGCGAGCGGAGTGGCGATCCAGTTCCAGGTTTTGTCTCCGTTCCTCCCCCCGCAGTGCGTTCGCATCCTATTAAGCGACGTCACCCGGCTGCAGGCCAATGGGCGGGCAAGACAACACGGCATGGAGCAGCTCCACATGGACACCCCGCGCCGCCAGCCTTCTGTTTAAAGGGCCAGTGCTTGCAGGGTCACATTCGTGGGCGCGGAAGGGAACCACTGGGTGCGCAGAGTGTGAGGGGAATCCTGCAACTATGCCACATGAGAGCTCATAACTCTTCAGCGCCCCGCTTTAGGACCAAGTCTCTCTTTCCCCCTAAACTCTTGTCTTTGTCCACTTATGTCTGATAGGAGTGGAGAAACCAACTGTGCCACCCCAGGAGCCGCCCTGTGCTCAGATCGGGAGCGAGCAGGAGGGTTTGGCAAAGAGCCCCCAGCTCCGGCCAAGGGGCGTGGCCCCAATCGGGAACAACAACGTGGAGGGCGGAAGCCCGGCCCTCCCAGCGACAGAGGCTGCGGCCGGGCGGGCGGGCGGGGCCGCGCCGTCTGGCTTTCGCGCTTGCCGGCGGGGCGGGGACCCTGGGCTGGCACGTCCACACACCTTTTCCTGGCGCTCGTGTCTGGGGGCCACAAAGGTACAATCAGAAACGTAAGAACTTCGAGGCCAGTTTTCCAACCGTTCATTTTACAATGCAACTAACGCTCAGAGAAGGGACTTGGCGAAGGCTACTCCGTATTCCAGAAGTAGGTTATGACAGAGCCAGAGTGGCCAACCTGGGCCAGGCCGATACCCTGGGAAGGGTCCAGAGCGGCTCCCCACCTGTGGGGAGGACTATTTGTCCCTTACCCCACTGATGCCTCATTGGAGTTCGTTCTGGGATGGGTTACCGAATTGGGAAAACTTAGGGTTTTGTTACTGTCAGCACGGTAAGAGTTCTATGTGAAAACACGGATACAGGACAAC